TTATATATGTAATTTAAGTATGTATGTATATCAGTAATTAGTAGTACCGCATTCGAGTATTCTGACACTTCCCTATGGTTGACTGGGAGAGAATGCTTTTAGCATTAAGTCCGCCATGTACACATATATGTACTAATGAATAAATAAAAAGAATAAAAATCAATCAGCCATAGTGACAATTGGCTGGCTGAGTTTTGACCCGTTTTTGACAGTCGATGCTCCATCTTGAGTTATATAATCTATAAGGGCACACGATAATTGGAGAGCGCAGATTATGCGTCGAAGCCGATTTTAATTTGATGGACCGCAGAGGCTTTACGGCCCTCCCCCTTTGTTTCAGATTTGATTGAACATTTTTCGCCGCAGAGTCTAGAGGCCGATGCCTTCAGTTTCGATATAAAAAGCTATTGCTTTCCTCGAGGTTTTATTGCCAATTGCTTTTCTTAAATTAAAATAGAATGGCTTGTATTCTCTTCTAATAGTTGGTTTTGATTGCAAATGGACGGTTTGTTTATGGTCCCCTTTGGTAGGTTTGTGGCTGAAGATTATTGCAAAAAATAAATTATGCTATTAAGGGGTCATTGGATAAACGACAATATTATTGTTATTGTTTGTAAGAGAACATTGGAGCGGTTTTAATGGAATTTTCCAAGTCAAATAACTGCACGATAAATATTTTTGCACGATGGCGTTTACATACAATAAGAGTACGGTTTGTTTCTAATACTTTTTCCAAAAGATTCTGAATTTGTCTTTTTTTTACTTTCTTTTTATGGCTATGTTACGCTATTACATGTTAATTCTATAGCAATTTTGACAAATAACTTTTTAATCGATTCTAACATTGAGATTTTATTGAAGATGTTTTTTTTGCAGAGCAAAAAACTGTTTCGAAGCAAAAATTGCTTGTACTCGTTGATATATGTATAAGTAATCCATAAAGCCACGTACTGTACCTTTAGATAATTTGTAATTTATCATTTCTAGTTATATTCTATAATAAAAAAAGATTTGAGGTAAAAGTGATAAAATCTGAACAAAAATGGGCCGTCAGTTTGTTTGCCATTCTAAGTTGTATAAAAAAAAAGACCAATAAGTTCTTTCAGTCACCTCTTACTATACCCACGGGAAAGGTCTGGTCTATTTTATTTTGGGACCACACGGTAACCTTTGGATGGAGGGGAGTAATTATAAACAGTTAAAATGAATAATAACTACAGTAACTATTCATCGATATGCCTCTAAATATATATGTTTGATGTAAATAACACAGTGTTTATTAACTGGAACATAATTTTCAGTGTAACCTAATATGATGTTTATACATTAAGTTGTAATTAAGTACATGTTAAGTTACTGAAGTGTAAAATTTACACATAATATTACAAGTATACCTAATTACAAACTCGAGTACTGTACCTATGTCTACATCAAATACTAGGTCGAATTACATAAGTCATACCCTAAAATTACACTTTAGCAGTTAATTAGGTTATATTGATGTTCAGGAATGCTTAAGCACGTTTACTGCTAGCTGTTTCCCGTGGTTTTGTTCGCGTATATAAGTATATAAGGTATCTTTTGTGTTAAGTTAGGATATATTCTGATTCATGTTTTTAATATTAGTAAGTATTAAACTGTTGTATTAATCGTTACTGTCCACTGCCGTGCATAGGGGGTTTTGCCATGCTAGTAGTTGCCACGCTTGGCAGGTTGGCAAGTGCAATTCGGCATTTGGTGATGTTTTAAGAGGGACGCTTTTGCCCACCTTTCCACCATAAGCTCCCTAAGTCACCTCTTACGACGTCCACGAAAAAGGAAGGAGTAGCCTATTATAGCTACTTCCATTCCGATGCCGAGGCCTACACGGCGAAGTTTTATTATTATTTTATTAAAAAGGGGGAAAAACCACAGAAATCAGGGCGGGTTGTTAGTTTACTATATTTTCTTTACTAAAATACTGTGAATAAATAACTATTTATTTTTTATTTATTTTTATTACAACTTAGAATGGCAAACAAGCTGACGACCCACCTGATAGAAAGTGGTAACCGTCGCCTATAGACATGAGCAGTACCATGGACATAACAGAGTATACTATTTCGCCCATGATATCACCCATGCGTTGCCATTCCTGAGGACTCGGGTGTTATTCCTCTGTACCCTGTAAATTCAATGTCATATCCCACCCTTCAAACCGAATCACAGCCATGCAAACACAACTGCTTCACGGTTGAAACACGAATGGGACAGAGGTACCCAAGCAATCGACTTTTGTAAAAAGTCTCTCTCTGATGTTTATTATTATCATGCATGGCTGGATTGTGTGTACGTTAATCACTGCTGCGCAATTTCCAATGGAATTGTACAGCCGTGATTATTCGTATGTTGTATATATATAAATATAATAAATAAATAAATATATACGGACAAATCACACAGATTGAGCTAGCCCCAATGTAATATTTATTTATTCAATATATATATATATATATATATATATATATAGACTTCATAACTAACAATCCCTTTCCTTCTATTTCCTAACATTAGCTTTAAGAACATTGCTACTAATAAATAATAATGTACTAAAAAGTTTGAAAAAAAAATGATTATTATTATTAGAAGTTTTCGGCGTCCAAACAGACGGGACGGTCGTTGAAATACATTGAAATATTGAACCGTTGAAGACTTTTTGGATTGTAGTGGTGTTATATAGAGGAATTTCGGTGGAATATTTACTTTCATCACCTACTTCATCTCACACTTAGGTGCTGGTTCAGGGCTCCCGTAATTTGTGTTATCGGTGTCTATTTTTTCTCGATTTATGTGTATGCATATAAAAACAATAATAATAACAAATAATAACCTAAACTCACCCCAAATAACCGAAGATTTTTAATCACTGCCGTGGAGGTCGATGGTTGTTCCCGCGTAAAAGTTGACACACAGGCGTTGTTGCACGGCACTCACACCAGAGGGCAGGCGTTTCCATATATCCCCGTAATGACTAATTTACAGGGACAATATATATTTATATGTGTGTGTGTGTGTGTGTGTTGTAGAATTGTGAAAGTGTGGTGCCGCGAAGTAAAAATATTGCAGATAAATTAAACATCCCCCCGCCCGAGAAAGGCTGAATGCCTTTATCAAACAAAACCGCTTAAAATAAATAAATATTGGAAACTGTATAGACCGCACTTATACAGAACCAACTTATGAAACCGCAACAAAAATAATACTAATAAATTAAGAAAGCTAAACTAATACATAATAAATAACAAGGTTGCAACTAATTAGAGGGAAGTCTGCAAATCTTGACAACTGGACGCGTTATAGTGCCAGTTGCAGTCTTAAGTTTCACAACTCGTACTACACTGTCTTTACCAGGCAACAGCTCTAAAATCCTGCCTAATCTCCACTTTAATGGTGGTAAATTTTCATCTTTAATTAGAACTAAATCGTCCACCTTGGGAGGGTCTGTAGGAGACATCCATTTATTCCGCATTTGAAGAGTATGGAGGTACCGCTCACTCCACTTTCTCCAGAAACGCTGTGACAGTGCCTGAATAAGATTATACCGATTTAACCGCGAGTTAGGAATATCCTCAAAATTATATTCGGGCACTGATAACAAAGATCGACCGATTAAAAAATGTGCCGGTGTTAAGACTTCAAAATCTTGAGGATCTTGTGTCCAAGGACACAAGGGCCGGCAATTAAGAACCGCTTCTACTCTAGTAAATACCGTTACTAGCTCCTCAAAAGTTAATACCTGGTCACCGATGACCCTCCGTAATAACGTTTTGGCTGCCTTTACCGTAGCTTCAAAAAGACCTCCAAAATGTGGCGCTGCTGGCGCATTAAAACGCCAATTAATATTTTGTTTAGCAGCAGTACCACTAAGCTCCGCTTGTACTTCCCGAGAAGCTAAATACCGCTGTACTTCATCCAAATGTTGGTTTGTGCCTACATAATTGGTGCCATTATCCGACCGAATTACACTCGGGAGACCTCGTCGAGATGTAAACCTGGTCAAAGCTGCCAGAAAACTATCAGTAGATAAGTCCGTAACACATTCAAGATGAATGCACTTAGTAGCTGAACAAATGAAAACGCACAGATACGCCTTCAAAGTTTTTGCATTTCGCAAACGTGAATGCTTTATAATAAAGGGTCCGGCAAAATCCGTTTGCACAGTATGAAAAACTCCCGTAGCAATCACTCTATCGGTAGGTAACGAAGACATCAAGGGTTCCGCGGGTTTAGCCCTTGTCCGAAAACATGAAATACATTTAAAAATTCGGCTACGTATAACTTGACGTGCCGAAATAATCCAAAATTGACTTTGTAAAATAGCCTGCAATGCCGTTGAACCTATATGGCAATGCATTTTGTGATAATGATCAATTATTAAAACCGTTAATGGATGATCTTTTGGCAGAAGAAGAGGATGTTTCCTATTAAAAGACAAATCGGAATAATTCAATCTTCCTCCTACGCGTAATAGACCATCCTCACTAACGAAAGGCATAAGCCGCCGCAACCCTAAAGAACAAAGACTCTTTCGATTAATACAATCTAAATCATTAGCAAACGCTGTAGTTTGAACCAATTTTATTAACCGCAGTAAGGCAAATTGCCTTTCCTTTGCTGTCAAAACACCGGTAACTTTATGATTTGGATTTTTAGAATTATTAATAAACCGAAAACAATAAGCCACTACCGCTAGCAGTACAGTTAATGAACTAAACCGCGTAAAGATGGGATTCGCTTCCGTCTGTACCATATGAACTTTTACCATCGTCTTGCGAAGACCAGGCAAATCGCCTTCTGCCTTTTTCATTATATTCTGAGGCCAGGTATCAGCCTGACCTTTAAGCCAAGACGGACCCCACCACAATGTGTGTTCGAGCAATTCCGACGCGCGACAACCACGACTTGCAACGTCTGCAGGGTTCATTTCCGATGGTAAGTGCCGCCACTTTATATCTACACCGCTATTGACAATCTGTGACACTATTTCCTTCAAAGGTCTGCAAAAGATGAGGTGAGATCCGCAGCCATGAAAGTACGATAGTGCTGTCTGACCAACAAACAATATCTTCAATATCCACCTCATTCTGAATAGAGTCCACGACGTATTTGGTAAGCCGTACCAATAATGTCGCGCCACAAAGCTCTAGTTTGGGAATGGTAAGTTTGGACTTTACTGGTGAAACTCTTGACTTAGCCATCATTAAAGTTACAGTAACCTCACCACAGTTATTGACCGCTCTCAAATAAACAGCTGCGCCATAGCCGAGTTCAGACGCATCAGCAAATCCATGAATAGAGCAAATCTTAGAATCTCCTAGGGCAAACCGCTTCAGATTAAAACTTTCAATTACAGGCAAATCCTTTAAAATGCCTTGCCAATCCGCTACAATATCCGCAGGTGGTTTGTCATCCCATGACAACTTTAATAGCCAAAGCCGTTGCATCAGAATCTTACCTTGTAAAATGATTGGAGAAATCCAGCCCAATGGGTCAAAAGTTCGAGCTACCGTCGACAAGATGAAACGCTTTGTACATATTACATTATCATTCAGCTTGGTATGATAAGAAAAACTATCATTACTGGGATCCCATTGGATGCCTAATATTTTAATGAAGCTAGGCCCGTCCGCATTATCTACAAAGATACGAGGTTTTTCTAAATCTTCCTCAGATATGTCTCTCAATAACTCCGCGGTATTAGAGGTCCATTTACTGAGATCAAATCCGCCCAATTTTAATAAACCGGTCAGATCCCGCTTAAGATTTTGTGCTTCTTCTAGCGTATCCGCACCACCCAAAATGTCATCCATGTACACGGAAGTACGAAGAAGTCGCGCCGCCGCCGGAAACTGTGATTCTTCGTCCTCAGCCAACTGTCTTAAGGTCCGTATCGCGAGATAGGGACTTGACTTCATCCCGTAAGTGACGGTATTCAATTGGTAAAGTTGAAGAGGCATATCTGGGGACTCTCTCCAAAAGATAAGTTGATATGGCCGATCTTTTGGGTCAATCAAAATTTGACGGAACATCATTCGGATGTCCGTTGTAAATACATATTTATGTAATCTAAACCTACAAATAATCTCCATTATGTCGCGCTGAAGCTTGGGCCCCGCATGCAAACAATCATTAAGACTAACTCCGTTACTAGTGCTACCACTAGCATCAAATACGACCCTTATATTTTCCGAACCTACTTTAAAAATTCCGTGGTGGCATATAATATAAAAACAACCGGAAACATAGTCTTCTGGTTTACCGACGCAGAGTGACATATGTCCGTTTTCCGCATAGTCTCTCATGAAATCTACATATTTTTTACGCAACGAGTCATTACGCTGAAGCCGTTTTTCCATTGCCAAGAACCGCTTCTTAGCTAATGGGACTGAATCTCCAAGCGAAGGTTTGTTGGATAAAAAAGGCAAATGTAAAACATACCTACCGCTCTTATCCCGCTGATGAGTGCTTACAAAAATAGACTCGCACTCCATGTCCATAGGGTTTTTAACCGCGTGAGGAAGGTCTTCAATTTCCCAAAATCGTTTCAAAATATCATCCGTAGAAATGTTAGAATAAAATGTATGAGAAGAATGAGTAGCCCGAGGACATGGATTTGTAGCCATAAATGTGACAGGACCAGTCAACACATGCCCGAACACCGTATTCATCGCACGAGGTAAGTGGTCGTGTACCTTGATAGTACCGCCGCCTAAATAAATGTCCCCAATAAGATCCGCACCAATCAAAATATCAATTTCTCGACTTATAAAAAATTGTTCATCCGCAAGAACTAATCCTCTATAATTATCCTCTAATCGAGGTGATAAGGAGAATCTTGGCAAATTACGAGTGATTTTATTCAAAACTGTAGCCGTTGTAAAGAGAACAGGTAAATCCGCATACTTGGGTATAATAGTCAAGTTAACAACCCCTTTACAACCGCTTACAGGAATATCGCTTAGCCCCGTGACTGTTACTACGTTAGATTTAAACCGCTTTAATCCTAACTTATTAGCACAATTTTCAGAAATAAACGTACTCTGACTGCCGCCATCAAGCAGAGCACGTGCCTCTAGATAATATCCGTGTGAATCTAATACCCGAACCATAGCAGTTGCTAGCAAAACTGTATGTTGGTAGGTCCCACAGGGTATTGCTTGCGATGACATTCCTCCAAACACGTTATTAACACTTGTACTCGTCGATTGAACCGTGGCCGCAGGGACCGTCACCTGAGGTACATGGTCCGGAGCATTCGTATTACTCATGATGTGATTGGATGGTGATCGCTGTTGCCGCTCCCGCGCCCCCGCAGGGAGGTCAAAATGTAATAATGAATGATGCTTTGGCGAGTTGCATTTGTAACAATTTCTATTATATTGACATTGTGCAATATTGTGACTATTAAGACATCGAAAGCATAAATTATTCGATATCACGTGACGCTTTCTAATAGTAGGCGTTAAACCCAAAAATTTCTCGCACTTGACAATGAAGTGACCCGCTGTCCCGCAATATTTACAAGATGTGGTAGAATGATTTTGTATTACCGCATGGGCAGCTCGTACCGCTGCTGGAGCTGGCATTCTAGCCGCATAGAAGTGTTGGAGTCAGGAACCGCACTGGACTCCAACTTTCGTATTTCACATTCCAAAAATTTTAATAAATCCGAAAAAGTAGGTAGTTCCTTTTCCTCAATCTTGTTTTCAAAATCTTTTTTTAAGTTGTTATCCAATTTTTGAAAATTAATATAATATAAAATATATGACCACGAATCTACTGGAAAATTCATCTTTTCTAACGCCTTTGTATTTTCTAATAAAGTATTTACAAATAATTTAAGACCACTTAAATTCCTAGAATTTACTGGTGGCGCACTCAATAAATTGTGCAACAACTTATCCGCCAGTAACCGCTTGTTACTATACCGCGCTTTAAGCAAGTCAATTGCGATCGAATAATTATCACCAGTAACAGATAGGTGTTGAATTAACGTTTTGGGCTCCCCTACTAATGAACCTGACAAATAATATAATTTTTCCGTATTCGATAAAGTTAAATCTTGACCGACTAATGAATGGAAAAGTTCTATAAAGGAATTAAACTCCTCTAACTTTCCAGAAAACGTAGGGAGTGTCAACCGAGGAAGAATTGCCTTAAACTTAGCAGTGGAATCAGTATTTTGATTATCACTACCGCAATCATGTTTTGTTTCACTAAACAACTCGAGATGACGTCTCTTAATAAAGTAATACCTTTTGTTATAAGTTTCGTATACGGCTTTAAGTTTATCTAAATCCGAGTCATCCGCCTTAAGTTGCATTTCAAAATGCATAGAAACAAATTCTTGGTAATGAGTGTCTAAATCGGTATATCTAACTCGAAACTCATTCTTTTGTTCTACTGTTAGTTGGTCTGTCCGCACAAGATCGTATATAAGATCGATATTCTGAACTACCATATCGTACTTCATTTGTATTCTTTTAACCGCAGCCATTTTTAAGAAAATATTTATTTTAATTATAAGTTAATCGTAAAATATAAACAATAACAAACAGAAAATAACTTCAAAAAGTATAACGACTTGAATATTCAAACAATTAGATTTATCCTACAATAATTTAAAATAACAAAAATATATAGGTACTTATAGATTTCCTATCTTATAAATCTACAAGTATATACAAAATAAATAACTAAACAAATGGAAACTATGTGATTTACCAAACTAATAACCACATAAAAGGATTATTCTCCTTTTATTGTATCCGCTTATTTAAAATAAAATATTGTAAAACTAATAAAATTAACAATGCTTATTTACCGATATAAGCCTTAAATAAATATGTTATATTACAAGACCGCAAGAAAGAAATAACACTTATTAATAATAGAACAACCTTAAAATCAACAAATACAAAAGTATCTAAAACCGCAAAAAAAAAAAAATTAATTATACTTTTATGTCGAAAAAGTATCCAAGTAATTAGAAAAAATCCCCTTAAATATAAAAGTGACAAAAATAAAAACGCAAAAAGAAAGAACCGCATCCAGATTTGAAACACCGACCTCCAAATCGCAATCCGCCGCCCGCAAAGTTTTCCCAATATATGAATGAAAAATAGTGTGAAATTACTAAACACTGTCCGCTACTAAACCAGGTGCAAACTTTATCATTTATTATTACCGCTAATAAATAAGACCGTATATTTACTTTATTATTTAAAAACAATTATTCCACAAAAACAATCAGAGGATGATAATCTAGCTGCAAGATTTAGAAAAGAAAAACAAAATACCTAGTGTGTACGGTGAAATGAAGTTTATTTTTTTTATGTAAATTGAATGTGAATATGAAAGTGTAATTATATGGGGGGTCAATCAAAATCATATATATAAATACCTAACACTGAAACATAAATATTACCGCAAAATATGTGTACAGTGTATAAGTTTCCGATTACTACTTTAATAATTTTTACAACGTAGGTGGAAGCATATGACCTACGTGTATCCGCGATTTTAAGTATTTTCTTTGTATAAATGATTTAAAATAGACAACGATAACGGGTTATAAATCCGTCTCGAAGCGATCAAATGTTATATAGAGGAATTTCGGTGGAATATTTACTTTCATCACCTACTTCATCTCACACTTAGGTGCTGGTTCAGGGCTCCCGTAATTTGTGTTATCGGTGTCTATTTTTTCTCGATTTATGTGTATGCATATAAAAACAATAATAATAACAAATAATAACCTAAACTCACCCCAAATAACCGAAGATTTTTAATCACTGCCGTGGAGGTCGATGGTTGTTCCCGCGTAAAAGTTGACACACAGGCGTTGTTGCACGGCACTCACACCAGAGGGCAGGCGTTTCCATATATCCCCGTAATGACTAATTTACAGGGACAATATATATTTATATGTGTGTGTGTGTGTGTTGTAGAATTGTGAAAGTGTGGTGCCGCGAAGTAAAAATATTGCAGATAAATTAAACAAGTGGCAACTGTAGACTGCGACATTAATTAAACAACAATTAATTCAAAACTTCACAGTACAAAGCGACCGCACACGGAATGCTTAATTCAACTGAATAATGAAATGCTATAGATTAACGGGTTCCTTTTGTCATTAATAATGATTACTACGTTTCCTGTATGTTACAAATTAGAATGGATACTAGAAAAAAATAACAGATTTTGTTGTACAAAAAGCAGATAGAGAATAAGCAGATGTCTAAAATTACACTAGCATCTAGAGTAATAAGAGAGTAAGCAGATCTCTTAAACAACACTAGTATACAAACTAATTAGAGAATAAGCAGATTTCTAAAATAATACTAGCATCTAGTGTAAAAAGGGAGTAAACAGATATCTGAAACAACATTAGCATACTAACTAATTAGGCAATAAGCAGATTATACTTGCATCTAGAGCAAAAATATAGTAAGCAGATCTCTAAAACAACACTAGCATACAAACTATCTACTAATAATATAACTAATTAGAGAATAAGCAGATTTCTAAAATAATACTAGCATCTAGAGTAAAAAGGGAGTAAATACATATCTGAAACAATATTAGCATACTAACTAATTAGGGAATAAGCAGATTATATTAGCATCTAGAGTAAAAAGAGAGTAAGCAGATCTCTAAAACAACACTAGCATACCAACTAATTAGAGAATAAGCAGATCTCTAAATAACACTAGCATCTAGAGCAATGAGAGAGTAAGCAGATCTCTAAATAACACTAGCATCTAGAGCAATGAGAGAGTAAGCAGATCTCTAAATAACACTAGCATCTAGAGCAATGAGAGAGTAAGCAGATCTCTAAATAACACTAGCATCTAGAGCAATGAGAGAGTAAGCAGATCTCTAAATAACACTAGCATCTAGAGCAATGAGAGAGTAAGCAGATCTCTAAATAACACTAGCATCTAGAGCAATGAGAGAGTAAGCAGATCTCTAAAGTAATATTAGCATACATACTAATAAGAGAACAAGTAGGCCTCTAAAATAAAAGTTAGTAAGGAGTGAACACGACAGCCAAAAAGCGAAGCGGCGAACATGCATAATTGAGTAATGTCAGCCATTTTTAATATCCGAGCGTTGGAACTTTTCAAGTTTCCGTAACTCGTGAATATTTTTGAACTCGTTGCGGGGCCCACGCCGCCTTCAATGTGTACAACAAGTTAAGGATTTATTCTCACAGATTGCAGTTTGTACGTGGATATTTTAGTTTTAGATGGAATATCACAATTTTACAATTTAGGAATAAATGTGTGGTTGGTTTTACAAAAGATAATATATTACATAAACTGTATTAGTAGTACTGTGGTAATTGTATTTTTACAATGTATGCATATTTATTTTATTCATACACTTGTCTTTATCTTTATTAATATCATATGTATTGTATATTGCCTTAATGTGTTACTATAATTTTTCACATATTTTTTACCATATCTGCCCTTCATACGCTTTCTGTTGGTAGAGAATTCCATATGGCATTAAGCACGTCTACAGATGGGCAAAGCACCGGGTTTAAACCCGGTGCTTTGGTAAAAACCCAATAAACACCCATAAACTCCCATAATCACCCAAAAAAATAGGTTTTTACGTATTTTTTTGAAAATATGTAAGTAAAGTAAATTATTTAAGTAAGTAAGTAAATTATTTTTATAAATTGTATTGATCAATTCTACAATATTAAATAAAACGTTAACTAATAATATTTCAGGAAATTTTAAAAATCTATATATAATAAAATGAAAGTAATTAATTTTCAGTGTTTTCATGTTGCAGTTGATCAACATGTTGGCCTTTTGCTTCCCGTAGATACTTTAAAATTTCTTCATAACACCTCGTTCGCACACATGGCCGTATATATTTAAATTCTTGAGCCACTAACAGTCCGAAATACTCATTTCTTTTATCCTCTTCTCCATAAATTAAGCATTTAGAACAGTTTGTTTCTTCTTTCAGTAAATTTTCTTTTACTTTATCCTCGTTTTTTTTCTTTGTTGCGACGACGCTGGGTAAATCATCTGGACACTGGGTCTCACTATCGCCAAATATATTTGGAGATCGGCTTCGGCTACGGCTTGGCAGACATTTTTTTCTTTCTACAATTTTAAATTAAATTTATTAGAATAAATGCTTCGAACACACGCGATCTAAGTACCTTTTGTGTTTATTATACCTTACCTACCTAGGTATAAAAAGAGTACTTACGTAGATTTTCTTTTATTAACTGTTTTATACGAAGATCTTGATCTCTCAAATTAGCATCCATTTTACTTCCAGTGATTATCATATAAATATAATAATATATATATATAAATAATTTTTATATATATTATACAAAAACAATACCCTTTAAATATCGATCGTCAGTAACTGTGGCTGACTTACCTATATTCTAGCAAGCAGGACTGCCAGATGTGAAGGGAAATCCCCAATAAATTGTTGCATGTGACTGATGATGTGAGCATGTTCGTTTCATAATAAAAATGTTGCCAGGTAACCAAAAAGTCGTATGTTTTTGTGCGAATTACGATCATAATCTATATATATATAA